GTATGGGGGTGTTGGTTGGGTTATTGGGGGTTATGGACTCCTCCCCCAAAAAAGAATGACTGCCGACTGGTAGGTGCCGACCAGCTGACTGGTCGGCTGGTCGGCAGCTGACCAATCAAGGGCCTCCTACTGTCGGTCTGTGCAACTCTGCTTGGGAGCCTTGTTCCCCCCTTCCCTCCCCCCCTGCAAATTTTTTCCCGTCTTCTTGTTAATCTGTGCCACCCCTGGTCATCAACAAAATTGATGTGCAAGTGCGGGAATGATTGGCACATAGGTGTGTGATTGGGAGACGTCCTGTCCAACTCCGCATGCATGATTGGCCTTCGCCCCAAGTAAACAGTGCTGGGGCCCTTAAGATTGAGATGGAATGTGCACTTGCTCGCTTGTGGGGATTTGCAGCCACTGGTATTGTTATTTGTGAAGGAGCATCTTCTTCAGTCCCAACTACTGCTAATGTACCGCTTTTCGTTTCAGAGAAAACAGTAGCAAATGCAAGGAACCACGGAATGAGAACACCGATATTCCAGATTGCAAACTACCAAACATGATTAAGCCGAGTTGAAAGCAGGAAACCAAAGCGGAATGCACACCAAATTAGGAGCTGGCGTTCGAAGTTCCCGTGCGACGAGGCTCGTTCGCTTCCACTTCCACCAGGGCTGGGTCAGGGCTAGCCCTGGTGCCTGTCACTGCGGTTCGGTCCAAGTTCCCCTCGATAGGGCCAATGGTCCTGAGGGCTGGTCACACTGTAGAGATACGGGGTGCGCTAGGAGTACTGACGTGAGGATGGGATGGGAAGGTAGCCTCATTCCCTCAGGACGACCATGGCTGACCGCACCTGGCAATCAATGTGTGCCCAGTAACCGGCCTCTACAACACCCTGGGCTTTATAAAAAAAAAAGGAGCAAAGAATACACTGAAGTCCTTTATAAAGAAAGCCTGTCTTCCACCTCCAGTCACCAAAACAAGAACAACGGAGTAGCTACCTCCGCTACATGCTAGCCTCTACCACCACACTCTGTCCACGCCCCACTCGCACAATGCTGCTTGGAGACTCTGCTTTTTACAGGCTTCCTCCACTGACACCAGGGAAGAACCGCCAGTCCCAACTGCCTTCCTCCTTCCGTGACATCCACAGTCCACCACTCAGCTTCCCTGCACCCAGCTATGGTTGGCGCTCACTAGAGCCACATCATCTGCCCTCCTCCTTTGGGCACTGCCTTCTGCTCACCGCACAACAGCGCTCATGCCTTGCGGCGACCTGCCTGAATGTCGCTCTGCGAGGCGGTCTTCAGGATTTTTTGTCCTGGAGTGGTGGCCGCGTCCAGACCCAGCAGACAGTGCCTGCAGTCTACTGGGACAGCGTCCAGGTCCCAGCCTCAGTAACTAACCTGCAACCTGGGCCTACCTGTTAGTTACAGAATTGGCTCCTAGCAACCAAGCCAAAGGACCCCTTGTAGGCCTTCAATTAGGGATGACATGAATTTTCTAGCCCGCCTTCACATAGGGCGGGCTGGGCACATTTCCAGTGGCAGCCTTAGGTCGTAGAGGAGTGGAGCCTCACATGAAGGGTTTCCTCACCCCAAAGAAAAAGGTGCCCACTACCGTTTTTCATTTCAGAGAACTCAGTGCATGGTGACCGCTTGAGGCAGGTATGCAGTGGACAAGACTGGAAAATGGAAAGTTGTGTTGAAGCGCATCCACTCTGGGGGCTACCTGAAGCGTATCTGGCTGGAATTCCAATACGATCCCTCCGAGAAAGTCTCTTGTGTGATTATGCCCTGTAAGGATGGTTGTGTTTGGCCTTTAAAGTCCAAGGGAGCAGTCAAAGGGAGTGGATTAGGGAGCTCCAACGGGGTGGGGACAAGGTGATGAAACCAAGTACGCAGAGCTACTCTGTGCAGATTGTGTCTAGTGTGCTTTTTTGTCTTCTTGTATGCAATTTTGTAACTGAGCATATGCTACCGTACTGAATGACTGTGGTGATTTACAACTGGAATGGCCATGAACTATTCCAGAGTTGTAGACTCCCAAGCACACCTGTCATGTCGGATAGGGTGAACCCTTGTAAGGTCTCTTCGACCTGATTCTTTGGTCTATTCTTTTTTTCCTTCTTTTTTTTTGTTTTCAAAGGCGGCATCTCGGGCCGTGCTCGTATTCTGGGGAGTGTCACTCTGGTGCCTATACCACCAGCAGGTCTGCACAATTATTATCCACTCCAACTCCTCGCCATGTTACGGCCCGGGGAACCTCAGGATGAGTGAAGTGCATGTTGAAAGGTTTCAAATCGTGATGGTAATGCCCGAAAGCACTCACCAGAAACCTGGAAAGCAAAGTTGAAAAGAAGGCACATCCGTTAAAATTGGAGCGATATAGAGAAGATTAGCATGACCCCTGCACAAGGATGACATACATAAATTGAAAAAAAAAAAAGGAGGCAGTTTTTCGTGTGAGTCCCAAGGTGATTCCCAAGGTGATTGACCGATGATGTGGAATTGGGATATTCTGATTTTCTCTCTCATACATTGTACTTTCTTTGCATGCATGTCAGGGCAGTGAGGCAAATAAAATCCCAGACAACGGCATCAGTGAAATCTGCTTTGGGCTTGACATCTGGCGAAGAGACTGTCATTGAGATTGACGGAACTACGACTGCACCTGTGCTTCAGCATGTTGGTGTCACAGCATGGCCAGGTTTGTGATGATGTTCAATTTCATTCATGTGTGTTGATTTGTTCAGTTACATTCTGCAAACAGGCACCATGATGGTAGTTTGTTGACAGACGCTTAGGTTTTACTAGTGTTAATGCCCAGGTGTGCACTCCTCCGAGAGTGCACACCATGCCTGGTTAGCAATGTGTGTTGTGTTTACTTGACCAAGTTGACTGATCAATCTGTGCTGCGACCTTGTGGTGATTATAGTCAAGTGCGAGGAACAAGCCCTCAAGGGGCCCTATCAGACATCACATGATCTGGGCTAAGGCCCCCAGCAAGCCGAGTGCCCACCCTAAGTGAAGGCGGGCCTGAATATTCGTCAGAGACAAAATTCGACATTTCCATATGTGGGTATTCAGGCTCTCGCAGCACGCCAGTTGGTTGGGTAGACGCGTGAGCCCCACAAAGCTGTGTCATACAGTTGGCCTAGGCCTTGACAGTTGCGCCTGGGCACATACACACAAAGCAGGGCCGATACATTGGGAAGCAGGCTGTCGGCCTTTTTCAAAAGCAGTACCGCCGACGCACCTGCCTGGGAGCCCTGCACAGATGCAGCAAACAGCCCAAGTCCGGAGACTCAGGCCGTGCCCAACTGAAAAGGGCCCAGGCCCTCAACTGTAGTCTTGGGCCTGGGCGCAGGGTCTGAGGCCCAACCGGAAGCTACTGGAAGCTTCCAGCCAGGCCACACGCAGCATCCAGGAGGCTGCCACTTCCATAAAAGAAGTGAGGCAGCCCAGGCCAGGCATTCTGGCCAGTGCAGGCAATGCAGAAGTGCTACTGCGCTATCGCTTGATGCTGCGCTGCTTCCAAGGGCGCTGACGGGGCGCGTAGTGGTGAAGTGGGGCGCTCCAGGGCAGCGTGGTGCAGGCGGCCATAGCCGGGCTGCTGAGCGCTAGGGGGTACAGCGGGTGACCTGGTGGTCTTCAGGGAAGGAGGCGCAGTGTGGGGTAATCAAGGTCTGATTGAGGGTGACGAGATACGTACCTGGTGCATGAAGAGAGGTCGGCTATGGAGTTGACAGTCGTGTACATTGGTCTTCGAGAGTCGAAGTGAGCCTGTTGCGTGAACCAGCTGTAGGTAGGATAGTCGGACAGAGTAGGTTGGGCGCTGGGCACCAGACAGAGAGGAGCGACTTTGGATACTGTGTTGGTGTGGCGTACGGGCTTGAACATTGGCTCATTACTTCATTGTATTGCTCTATATGGATGGTTTCTCGGTGCATTTTGTACTCTCTGCTTGGATACGACTACCTGGACATCTGTGTGATTTCGCAACTTGGTTTTCTGTATATTGTTCACACTCATATTCCTTGCACAAGACCTACTGCACTATCAATCAGGTTGGATTTGTTGTTGAGGGGTAGCAAGGGGAACTCAATTGTCACAAATCCACCCTTGGTGCAACTAAATGGATGGGTGTATTATTGAGAATGTTTGGTGTTGGGTGACGTACCTGTTAAATTGGCGGTTTGTTAACTGTTTGTATCCCCCCCTGTTGTTTTCTGCAGGTCGGCTGACGCTGACAGATCATGCCCTATACTTTGAAGCCTACAATGTGGTATATTATGACAAGGCAAAGAAGTTTGACCTCTCTGCGGATGTGAAGCACAAGGTGAAGCCTGATCTCACGGGCCCGCTAGGGGCGCGGCTATTTGACAAGGCGGTTGCATATTCGACAACTTTGTTGTAAGTAGTTCTGACAGGGCAGGTCCTCTGACTGCTGTTCTGCAAACAGGCTCTTGTTCCCGCACGTCACTTTGCACTTTCAAAAGCAGTGAGAGCAGTGGGAGCAGTGAGATAGAAAATAAATGAGGGGTTATAATCAGGTTAACCTTTGAAATTGGGATAGTGGCCAGTTCCATCCACAATGTTGGTGGCAAACCTCCTCTCCTCCTCGGCCTTGTTTCCCGCAGCCTTGCTGTCCTCAACCCACATGAACGGAAGGTAAAAGAACGCAAAGGTGTCTTTTGTGACGAGCTTCTTACAATGCTTCTTTCTGACTGAATGTGCTACGAGCATTGAATGGAAGAGATCTGAAGTAGAATTTCTTCTCAGAAATGGAGAGAGGGGGCAAGAAATGGTCTGGCAGTCTGATGTTTTTTTCATGTCATCTTTCATTGTCTGGCTGTGTGTGCAGGTCAGAGCCTGTAGTTTTTGAGTTTCCGGAATTAACAGGGCACAGTAGGAGGGATTATTGGCTGGCAATAATCCGCGAGATTGTCGCTGTTCACTTGTTCGTCAGGAGTCACAAACTCGAAGGACCTGCACGGGCACAGGCACTGGCAAAGTCGGTGCTCGGCATCGCTCGGATGAAGGCTGTATGGGCAGTTCTGAGGATTTTGCCAGCACGCCCGAAAATGCTTTTGACGTTTATTGCAACAGATGAGCTCCCTGGGGGTGATAGGATCCTTGAAGCGCTTGCAGAAAGCCTGAGGCTTGAGGCCCCATGTTATGCGGGGAGGGCCAGTACTCCGACAGAAGGGAGTGCTGAAAGCGGGGCTGAGAGTCCGAGCGACAGCAGTAGTGCCAGCAGTGATGCAGGTGGAAGCGGGGCGGGTAGTGTGGGGTCCAGCAGCAAAGGAACTGAGGGACAATCAGGTGTCAGCAGAATCAGACGCCTGAGCACTTCCCTTGAGAAGTCGTCTGCTGTTGCGGCGGTTGCTTCCCTTTTACCTGTTGCCGGAGTCCCACGGACAGGTGTGGGAGGCTCACCCAGTGGGGACGGGTCCCCCGTGATGGTGGGAGAGGTGCTGGTCGGGGAGATGACTGCACTTGAGAAAGCGATTGCTTCTTCCTTGGACAACTCCAAGATCCTTGAAAAGGCAAAGGCGTCGGTCAACGAGGCACGAGTCGAAGGCATTGGGACAAACAAAGCGCTTCTTGAGGTGTGTTCTGAATTGTTTATGACATATTTTGCGTTTTTTTCGCCCTTCTGTCACATGCCCTCGTGTTGGCACTACGTCTAGTTACTGCAGGTTCTTAACCCCGGCTGGTCACGATGGCACCCGTGTCTCCGCTCTGTGAGAATGTTACTGCAGTATGCAGTCTGTATGTTTGATATGTTATTGGTTTCTGATCGGATGGCTAGTAATGATGAGTCCAATGGTCATCAAATTCAATCTTTGGTTTCCGACTTTTCCCAAATGCTTTTTCATTTTTTTTACTGTGGACCGCTTCTCGATTCAGGTGTGTCATCCTTGCACAGGGGCCATGCTAATTTTGTCTGTATCTCCCAGTTTTAACGGATGTCCTGAAATACGTTTTCCCAAATGCTTACAGTCGTATTTAATCACATCACAAGCCCGCATTGCACGTTGCAATCCCGTCTGTCGATCTGCAGTGCAACTGCAAGGATTGGTCTTGTGATTGCTTTGTAAGACCTCATGGCTCCGGAGGACCATGTCCCACTGGTAAGACTGCATGTGTCTGGTTGAGCAAGATAGTGTTCACCCATCCCAGTACTATTCCGGCCCAGTTGTGATTGGCTTCGGATCGGGCACGTCAGCTGTGGTATGACATTCTGCTTCGCTTCGGATCGGCCCACATTCTGCTGAGTTTCTAAGTCTGTATGTGTGCGTGCTTGTTGACCTGCGTGCCTGTCTGAGTGCTTGTCGGCATGAGTGTGTGTGTGACCCGCAAGGGTACTTGCTTGTTTGGGAGGCCCGTAGGGCCGGTACTTACCTGTGGCCGTGACATTGAGGGTTGCAGCAGGGGAAAACACTCAAGTGGCGGAGCCAGAGGCCCGTGGCACTTGGAGCAGCGGAAAAACACTCCAGTAGCAGGTAGGCCACCCAGTAGCAGTAGATGTGCCGGGTACTCGAGGCCGAGCAGAAGAAGACAAAGTTGGCATTTTTAGAGGCCCAGTAGCGGAAGGCTAGGTCTAGGCCGGTAACAGTCCATCCAGTCTGAGTCTAGGGCCTGTACGGGCAATATCAGAGTCTGCGATGATGTTTCCCTCTGAAAGGGAGGAGGTACCGGTTGCTTGGGAGGCCGAGCCGCTTGGAAGTCACCGCCCAGGAGGCAAGTAGGCCGCTATATCAGGAGGCCGAGGGAAGAGCCCGGCCTCATTTGTCAGTGTGGACCGCTGGCTGGAGGAGCGCTGGCCACTACAGCGTTGCTGGGAGGAAGGAGCCCGGGAGCTTCCACCTTGGCTATGGTGGAGCTCTACCGGTAGGAGGAGGAGGGAGAAGAGGACCAAGGAGGAGAGTGGCTAGGTACCTACCTGGCTATGGTGGACACCATCTTCATCACCTTGATAGGTACCCAGTAGCAGCAGATGTGCTGGGTACTCGAGGCCGAGCAGAAGTAGACAAAGTTGGCATTTTTAGAGGCCCAGTAGCGGTAGGCTTGGTCTAGGCCGGTACCAGTCCATCCAGTCTGAGTCTAGGGCCTGTACGGGCAATATCAGAGTCTGCAATGATGTTTCCCTCCGAAAGGGAGGAGGTACTGGTTGCTTGGGAGGCCGAGCGGCCTGGAAGTCACCGCCCAGGAGGCAAGTAGGCTGCCATTTCAGGAGGCCGAGGGAAGAGCCCGGCGTCATTCGTCAGTGTGGAGCGCTGGCTGGAGGAGTGCTGGCCACTTCAGCGCTGCTGGGAGAAAGGAGCCCGGGAGCTTCCATCTTGGCTATGGTGTAGCTCTACCGGTAGGAGGAGGAGGGAGAAGAGGACCAAGGAGGAGAGTGGCGAGGTACCTACCTGGCTATGGCGGACACCATCTTCATCACCGTAATAGGCGCTGCATCTGGAAGGCCCCAGTTGGGGTAGTGCCGCACCAAGGAAGCTCGGGGCAGAGAAGGGGCATGGCTGTCTAATGAGCAGCGGCGTAGCTGCTTTGCGTTGTCCTTTGGACAGGAGGGTTGAGCCCTCAGTAGTTCGCCATAGCCTCGGCCTATATGAAGAGGAAGGAGGAGGGTGACCATGGCTATGGTGGACCTCATGTTGTGCCTGCAGTAGAACAGGGATTCGGACATCTACTCTGGTTCAGCCATTCAACATTCTTATTGTTATTTCTTGTTTCAATAAGAGGGGAGGAGATAAGGAGGAGGAGATTGGTTGGCGAAGGAGAAGAGCATTATCTTTGGTCTATGCTGTGGAGTACATCATCATCTTCTTCTTTCTTTCTTCTTCTTCTTCTTCTTCTTCTTCCCCTCTCTCTCCTCTCAAGTCATTCATTTCTTTTTGCAATTGGACGGCATTGTACTTTCTGATGAATGTATACTTCGAAATTGGCCAGGATCGTAACATTGGTATCAGAGCGAATTCTGCTTGCTGGCGAGAGTTGACTTTGGGTGATGCTCCCCACCAATAGATGGAGCCTCTCCCCAGGTGCTAGCGATGTCTGCCCTCAACAGCATCACTAGCACTGGAGGGACTGTGTTTCTGAAAAAAAAAAAAGAAAAAAAAAGGACTTTGCCGCCATAACCCTAACCTAAGTGGTAAGGGCTAACCACTTAGGGTTAGGGCAGGAAGTTAGGGTTAAGTGGGGCAGCGTGGTAAAGGGAAGCTGCTCCCACCTGGCAGGGCCGTGTAGGGTCGACATTAGACCCGGCCAGGTTGCTTGAGTGCGTGTTTGTGGTGGCAAGACACAAGGTGGGACTTCCTGATGCAATTGGAGAGAGGTGACAGTGAAGGGCCCCTACAACTGGAATCTGCACTTCAAGGAAGACGAGGAGTGACTTTAGGGCTCCCCTCAAGTGAGGCAAGCTTGAGGGTGGCAGCCATATCTGCACCTACGGACTGCAAGTTGCTACTTTGATCTTCAACATCGACGGGGGATCCGGCGTTGTACTTTGGGGT